TGGACGAAATTCACTGTTCCATGTATAATAGGCAAGCTTTTTTTCGGATTCAATTTAGTGAGTGATAATCTTCACCGTGAAATAAAACGTCTCTCACTAGAATGAAATATTTTTAGAATACTAGAAACTCGCGAATCGCATACAAAGATTGTTTTGGAATGGAATGATTTCCGAGATTTCCTAGATCAAAAGTTTATTCTCCTGTCACCCTTCTGTGGTCGTGTTGAATGCGAAGATGAAATCAAAAAGGAAAGTATGAGAGAAGAGGAAAATGACCCTCGTGTTCCTGCAATGGGGGCAAAAACTCTCTGCATTCCATTTGAGCAGGTAATCCACACAACATTTTGGAGGAATTAAGTTACAAAAATAGCATGTTGTTGCTTCATACTATTAATGCAGAGGTTTGAATGCAGCAGCTTGGAAACTCGCTCTAGAAGACTACGTTGCCCTCACTAAAAAACTAAAATTCTGTGAAATAAGGTCTTGAAACCAAAAAAAAAAGACTTATTTGTGGCACTGACATCTACACATCATTGTGGATTAATTGTTGTTTTTCTTTTTCCTGAAATTCTGCAGTGAGCTTCATTTCAGCCTAACATTTCACTCCCCACTGGTTGTATCAATAAGAACTGTTCAGAAAAACCGCAGTTCTTCGCGTTGTTTGGTCGAAGTTATTAAGCAAGATTATTATTTCATGTGGAACTGTATATTTCATATTGTGGATTACAAGTGTTACTGCTCATCTTTTGTGGATTGATCTGATGTACTGTTACATTTGTTGGCATGGTTACTGATCTAAAGTTGAATTATCTTGTCTGTTATTATTGACATACTAACTGATGTTATGCAATTGACTTATGTGTTATACTGTTTGTTGGCATCTTGTATAATTCCTTGGTATCGGTTTTCACTTGGTGGGAGTGGGTTTACTTCTACTGTACTGTGTATTATACTGGTATGAAGAAGTGGTAAAGCAACATCTAATTAATTTAGTTTGGCAACTGATAAATTATTTTCTGTCATTTTGTATGGTAATGTTGTCGTATCTCGTTTTACAACGTATTTTATAAGAAGTGAAAGTCATAGTGATTTATCATAGTGATATTATCAACTGTTATTTATGAAGTGAACTGAATGAGATGCATTGTACAGTAGTGCTACATTGCAAAGGAATTTTTTTACTTGCTAGTTCATTTCGAATTCGTAAAACAGAGCTGCGTATGCTGGTCCGTTTTAGTCATCCTCATTTTTTGTTGTAGTCTAAAGCGAGTACGATGTCGGAAGATTCAGATTTTGATGAGGAAGCCCATGCAAAATTACTAGACACTATCAACAGCTTGGGCAGTAGTACTAAAAAACGACCATTGACTAGAAAGTGTCAGAAAAAGGTTCGAGTTAAAGAACTAGTTGATCTTATACGATCAACGAGGTTAGTTTCTCCAGCTGATTTCCTTTAGTTTGTTATAAGAATATTTCGTCATGAAATCCGTAGTGTTTTTTCCACTATGGAAGCTAGTGCTAAAATTGAGCATTGAGAACTGTATCAGTTTGAGATAAATCCTTGGAGCCGTTTTTATTAAAATGATTGCATCAGAAATGTTGACGATGCAAAGAAGAAACTGGTAAAGAAGAAGAAGCAAGGGAGGACAGCGGGAAAAGACGAACCGAGAACTTTGCAAGCTCCATCTCATAGATTGATTCGGGAGAGGATTGAAAGTTCCATTGCATATAGTGATATCCGGTATTACCTTTGTTTGTATTTTTAAATATATACGTCGAGTATGGAGTGCATGATATGTTTGCAATTGGAAATTGAAGTATTCAAACGGAATTTTAGAGATTTCTAAAGTTGTTTTCATTTGTTACTTTAAGTTCGAAATGGCAGTTTTAGTTATGAAACAGTTAACACAGCTAAGTATTGTTGCAGGAAAGACTTGGAGGAATGGGCTCCAATTGTCAAAAAGAATAGACTTGCTGAACAATTAGTATTCCCACTCATTAAAGACCCACCAATCCAGCGAACAGCGTCGGATTTGGTGCTGTTTTTCAAGGTCTGTTAAATTTTTTATCCATTATTTTGCCAGCGTTCGTTCTGACATAACGGAAAGATGTTGCAATGTATCATGTGATAAATAGTACAGTAGCAGGAGTATCCTTTTAATGCAGTATTCCTTCAGATATCGGAGGATAGAAAATTTATCACTTTCTAAAGTTTAATTATGTGATGAGGACTTGTATTTGTATTTGTGAATTTAATTGCAGCCAAGGACACCGCTGGAAATAGAATTGGCTAAGCTACTGAAAACATCAAACAACAATCTTCGTGATGGCGAGGAATATACGGAAGCTGAGTTAGAATTAATAAGGGCAATGAGTTTGAAAGAGGTTGTTATGTTTCAGCTTTTGAGCAACTGTTATAGTTATAAGTGATTTTGCCTAGTAGTCAAATGGACATCAATATGTAACTTGTATATTTGTATAATTTTTTTCTAGGCAAAAGCAAAATGGGCTCAACTGAAGAAGATGCGAGCTTTAGTTGGTTATCGAGAAGCGAAACTGAAACGACAGGCTAAAATAAAAAGCAAATCGTTAGTTTAACTATAAATATTTGTGCTCTCCGTTTCTGTGTTCTATCTCTGTTCTGTAAAGTTTTGACTGTAATACTTTGTGATTTGTTAGTAGACATTTATTTGAATTTTATTGGTTTGAACTGCTAGAATATTTTTTTAAAAAACCTTAGTGTTAAATGTTTCTGACACGGCTGATTGCAGATATCATCGACATATGAAACGCCAAAAGAGAAAACAGTTAATCAAGGAATTTGAAGAAATGATGATGAAGAATCCAGAAGCTGCCAAAGAGAAACTGGAAGAAATCGATCGCCAACGCATCCTGGTATCATAGTATTACTTTAAGACGGTTGAGTTTTAATCATCTACTGTAAGACGATTGAATCACAACTATAAATAGGTTGGTGAAAATTCGGAGCAAATAAGTGTACGGTTGTTCCAGGAACGAGCGACCTTAAAGCATCGCAACGGTGGCAAAGGTGTCCAACAGTTGTCAAGGTATGCGAGTAAAAATAAGGATTTCAAAAAAATATACGAAGAGCAAATAAGATTGGGAAGAGAACTGGCCGAAAAGCATGGTCGTGAGAAGGGTTCGGATTCTGATTCTGAATCAGAAAGTACAGATGCAGTAAAACTGACCAGTACCAAAATGCTTGAGGTAAGGCGCTCTTTCTTAATATGTTGAGGGTTAATATTTTGAAAAAGAATAATAGATTTTTTGATTTTAAAATTATAGAGAGCGGCTGAACTGTTAGAGAAGGAAGAACGGGAAAAATTTACCAAGCCAGAGCTGAAGACAAAACTTTACGAAATGAGAGAACGGGAACGGGAAACTCTCAAAAGTAGCGCATTGCGGGCCACGGGTGCAGAGTTCATATCTCACCGTAGGCATGAGTTGGTATGCCTTTAGTTTAAATTTATTTATATGTTTGCATAGTATGAAATATTGAGTGTATGAAATAGTATGAAAAGTATGAAATACTGATTATGAAATATTTGTATTCGGAATTAAATTCTCTTTGTTCTCCCAAAATGTATGTGTTTGAGGATAACGATGCAGCCAATGAGTCGAGGGTTTGTATTGAAAAGGCTGTGGAAATAGAGTGGGGTCCGAAAGAAACGATGAGCAGTGAAGAGCAGTCGGAAAGAGCACAACATCAACATGATATCTCAGAAAACTCTGGACAGGACTGTGCTGAAAAGAGAGCTGATGAACAACCCAAGAAAGACCTCAAAATTTCGAAAAAGAAAAAAGTTAAGAAAATGAAGAATAAAGTGCGTTTAACTCGTCCTTTTTCTTTGTAGAAGTGCGCGTTAAAGATGAGCAATTTTGAATTTTCCGAAACTAAGTTTTGATTTTGTTCAAGTATTATTTATGCATACTTTTAATGCAAACAGCATTGAATATATTAACTAAAGTACAGGACAAAGAATTGTCGTGATGATTTTAGAAGAAAAGTATAGATGTAAGAGACTTGGATATTGATCAGCTGTTCGACAAGGCAGAAAAAGAACTCGCTGAAAATGCTCTAAAGGTACCAAATGCTGCTTCTATAATTCCTTTCCTTAGATTATTTGATTTGTTTCCACCAGAAGTTCATTTTCTGGGATACTTTCACTATTGTATTGTGACAGCTTTTCTCTTTTAATGAAATCATGCTTCACCAGTGCTTGTTTGTAAAAGTCCTCTCTATAATTTTTCTGCTCACTATAATTGATTGATAAGTTTGTATATTACCATGTAGTTTTGGTTTGTTAAAACTTGTTGTTTTGATTTCTTGAGACTGCAAGTGATTCCACAGCAAACTGAATAAAATATGCAACACTATTTATTATCGAAAATATTACTCGTTTTAGAAATGTGAATTTTTGAAATTAGAAGACGAAGAAAATAAGCGTAGTCGGAGTCTCCTACCGTCTGACACCGAACCTGCAGTTTCCTCTCGACAAAGTAAACTTTTCTTGATTATTTTTATGCTACAGATTGCTTTTTATTGGAGAATCATCTTACTATGTTTGCAGAAGGAAAAGAAATCGCTGCGAAAACAGAAGAAGCAGTTGTAGATATTTCTTTGGATCCAAGGCATTTTCTGCAGGTCGAAACGATGGCACTACCACAGATCTCGGCCGATTTTGTTGAGACTTTGGAAGATACTGGTGGTGAGTTTTTTGTTTTAGCTGCTTTATTGTTTTTATTAATTTTCAATGTTTAGTCAGCGAAGTGAACTGACTTATTTATAGGGCAAGCAGAGAATCAGGAAGAAGTCATAGCCAAAGCATTCGAAGATGTCGATGTTATTGGTGATTTCGAAGCTGAAAAGGAAGCTGTGGAAGCGGCAGAAAATCCAAAAGATATCGATCTAACGCTTCAAGGATGGGGTTCATGGACGGGACCAGGAATAATCAGTAGGAAAAAGGATAGGTGCGATTTTTGCTAAATTCTATTAGACTTCTCATATATTGTAGTTTCTTTTTATTTATCTCTTCGATATCACAGCGGTTTATATTTAATTGCTTAAATAAGTGTGGATATTGCAAATTTTAGATTTGTAATCAAAGTACCGAAAAAGAAGAGGAAAGATGCTGGAAAAACAGGCTTGATTATATCGGAAGCAGTGGATCAGTCGATCGAAAAAATCCAGCTGAAATCGGTGAGGGCTTTTCTTTGCAGTTGAATGAGTGTGAAAAACGTTCGCAAAAAAACTAGGTTTTTTTTTTAAAACTACGCAAAAAAACTAAGACAAAAAAACTACTCGAGATCTTGATTAGTATACTACTTTGATTTACTAGTCTTCTGGAAATGAATTGGTCATAGCATGTAAATTCTGGCTGGATTCCTGATTCATGTAAATCTTTTTCTCATATGAACTACGTTCTTCTAATCAGCGTAACGATTGATTTAACAACATTAACTCTTTCGTTTTCATGTTAATGCAGAGTATTTATGACTGTTAGTAATACATTTACTGAATTTTGATAATAGATATTTGGGTGATACTTCTTCCAGATACCATTCCCATATACGACCGTTGAGGATTATGAAGCTGTAGTACGGCAGCCGATAGGAAAGGAATGGAATCCACAGCGAATTCATATGAAACTTATTCAGCCACATATTATAACAAAGGTACGTTTATGCTCATTTTCATTTTCTTTTTTCCTTTGAAAGAAAAAAAAAATGCATATGTTGTGATGTTTCATTGTTTTTCAGGCGGGTAGGATAATCAAACCACTGGATAAGACTGTACTGGAGGATGAATCTGACGAAGAAAAATAAATATCTTGTTATTATAAGTTAATTCCTCCAAATAAATGCACAATATCACTATTTGTGTTCACAGTTCATTTTTAAATCAAGAAAAGTGACAAGAGCAAGAGATAGTGAAAGATACACTTTCGAGAATAACTATTTTTCTCGTTGTGTTGGACCCTTTCAGATGTGTTTATTACTTTTCTGTTTGTATCCATTTATTACTAAATTTTGGATAATGATAATGTTTGTTCATATCTCACATTGGAGACGAGTCTCTCGCTTATCGCAGTAGCATTATTTGAGGAGCTGGATATTCGGACAACTTACAGAATAATCGTCAGACTGATTTTAGTGCAACATAAATCCTGAACAGCTGATTAGAGTGGAGGTGATAATTATAATATCTTTGCACCTGTTCTTTTTCTTTTTTTATTTTTCGGAAATATGTATTTGCTAATATCGGTGATAACATGAAGAAGGATGCAATGCTTTTATGGTTTTGCAGTAAAAATTCTTTGGAAGATAGGATGGAATTAATTTTATAACCACTAAGTCTGTTCTATATGCAATTATTTATGATACCAACAAAATAACTGTGGAATTACTCGTCAGGTGCTTTGATTTATTACATTAACCTGAAATTGTTACATTCCGGGAATTCTCCAGCTGTAGGTGAAAGATATTATCGACTGACTAATTAGTAAATCATCCGTAATTATTTTATACTATTTCATATAAAAATTGGAAAAGGTAAAAGAGAAAATTGAGCGATAAGAGGGTTGAGGTGAGTTGTATATTTGTTTGATCAGCTTCTGGTTTCTACATTTCATTCAAATGGCCAATAGAGAAATTAAATCAAATAGCACATTACTATTTACGGTTGCCACTAACAAACAATAAAATTGATTGTGTTTGAATTCGATCAACCATAACTGTAGGATAGAGCAAACAGGAAATAGAACAATTGATAGGAAGAGAATAGTTTTGGTATGTATTACATTTCAACAGTACCATACATATCCAATACATCCTCCTATCCAACAACATCTACCAATTATCATTCCTATTTAGATTTATTTATTAATATTCATACTTATCACTTTATCAACATTTATGAGGTCCAGTAGTAATTAATATCGTTTCTAATTTGTTACTTTTCTAAAAATTATTCTGAAATTTTATCAAAAAAGAAAGTAATCACATTGTATTTAATTCGTTATACATGCTCTTGAATTCTATCAAAATATTTGTTCTAATTGTACTGCAATTTGATAACAATCAGATTATCAGTATACTTTCTTTTTCAATCTGATAATGTGATATCCAGATTATCAACACAGTATACAATTTTTCTTATCATCTTTATTGCTGCCGGCTAATTCACCTTAATTTTATATCGTTAATCAGTGAAGTACTGTTAAGTACTGGTACATTCAAGATTACTACCATCTAAAGTTGACAATTTGCCGATCATGTCTTTGGCATCTGTCATCAATTCATTCGTTTCAAATAAATGTATGTTCCCTTTGGCTTATTCAGATGTTAGTGATTTGTCTTTCATCTTCTCTGTGAATTCTTTTAAAATTATTCGCAGTTCCATCAGGGGAATTGAATTGTTAGCTTTGGTCAGAGACAATTTCATGATAAGTTAACTTTGACTTCTCAAAGTTTTGAATAGTTCTGAAGTTGAATTTGTTTTTCCTTTTTTCCACTGCAGCATATCTTTCTTTACCCATTTCCCGCATATTTATGAAGCATTTTTAATTAATATATTGTCATACTAAGGCTCCAATGCTTCTCGCATATTTATGAAGCATTTTTAATTAACATATTGGCATTGTCATCCTAAGCTTTTTCTGATGAGGATTAGTAAACGGAATGAGCAATTGCTCTCATCGTGACTATTACCGCTACCCTTGACATTCCCCGGATGAAGAGTTTCCTTTTAGAGGTATATCGTTCCATTCAAATCTTCAAAAACATCAAACATCTCTGCAACACCCAGCATCGATTAATTTATTTCATTTCCCTTTCGGAAAATGGCTATTTTCCCACGATAAATACGCCCATCAATTGCTGCTTACCTTCGACTCGTTCCCATCCTATCCATGAGAATTTCCATCTGTCACTCTCTTCCCGATTTTTCTTACTAATTAAAGTAATGATAAGGAACGGATTACAACATCAACAAAGAGCCAAAAAGAAAAAAAATAGCCTTCACTTACTGTCACTTCTTCACCGTGAATTAATCAAGCGTTTCCTGTGATATCGCGGATGATATCCCAGAACCATCATCGTTCCATCTCCATCAGCAGTCAGTGGCGATACTTTCTATTATTACAACTACACGACAAGAGAGAGAGAGAGAAAGAAAGAGAAAGAGGGAGAGAGAGAGAGAAAGAAGAGAAAGAGGGAGAGAGAGAGATAGAACTTATTGAAGCATTTATTATGGATAATCTTACCACGCAACGTATTTACCTGACGTGATTTTTCCATCAATCCATTGCGCGATATCTTTTTCCATAACGCACGAGTTAGTATGGCTTTCCTCCCAACACATTACTTGACGTGACTTCTCCAGGAATGCATTACTTGACGTGACTTCTCCAGGAATGCATTACTTGACGTGACTTCTCCAGGAATGCATTACCTGACGTGACTTCTCCAGGAATGCATTACTTGATGTGACTTCTCCAGGAATACATTACTTGACGTGACATCTCCAGGAAGGCATTAGTTTGCATGACTATTCATTATGTTACATTTAACCGAGCAACAACAATTATTAGCTAATTACGTTATTGAAATTTGAACGCATTTTTCGAAATGTCTGTCACTCTCTCTCTCTCGTAAGTCAACGAAGAAAAAAAAAAGCGTGAATCAGAACAAATTAGTGTTCCGTTGTGTATTTTCAAAATTAACAAGTAATAAACAACGTAAAACGTGACATGTGATCAGAAGCGTTTCATAAATAAATTGGAGTATTCAATTAATATGCTCGATAGCGATGAATCATTTTATATGTATCACAACTTAACCCTCAAGGAATATTCCCATGGGAAACTCTCGTAGGCTTACCTTGTTTATGTCTCTTATCCTGAATGCTTTACCGATCGGGGTTATTTACGAGAGAGAGTTACTATAATCAATGAAAAATCCTTTTCCCTATTACTGACCGATCGGGAAATGTAACATGCGGGAATAGAGGAATAGAGAATAGGGAATAGGGTAAACATAAACAGTTATGATTACATTTTGATAAAAAGAATTATTTAAGTGATTAGAAAAGAATTATCTGATTACATAAAAAAAAGACGTTGAAGATAGGTCATTAGCGTGTACAGGAGTGTTGTAAGCAGTGAAGAAAGAAAGCCTCATTTGGATTATCAAGAATGCTCGGGTCAATCATTCAGATGCTATTTGCTCTTATCATTTAATGATAATATCATATATCCATTCCGTTTCCCACTAATGATTTCTCTTCAATGTGTAAATATTACAACCACATGAAGCCTTTTCTCACTTTTTTGTTTGGCCACAATTTCATCTTTCTTCTTTACTAAAATGCCAAATGCCAACATTGTCAAGGGAATAATTTTTCAATTCATCTATAACAAATTGTCTTATTTAGCCAATTTGATGGTTCAATTTAGGAAATCACACAGCCTAAGCCTCAAGTGATTGCAGTAAGGTTTTATTTTGTTTGTTACGATTGAATGGCCTAATCATTCAACAACTTTAATGGTACTTCCGTTGATTAATTTTGTTTATTTCTTGAACTCCTTTACATCGATTTGGCCTTTTCTATAATTGTCAATTAGGAGAGAGTTGAAGACAAAAGTTTGAAATATGTCAAAAAGATGATATGCTACTCTCAATAATTACCTTCAATAATTTAATTCTTAATTATAACAAAATAATTAATCAATAAATTAGCTAGTAAAATATCATATGAAGTGTTCTTACGATTCTACAATATCATATCATATCATGAGATTAATTTTTTACCAATACTTTTACAAACAACCGGGAATCGGGAATCTTTATGATACCTTGAATAGACCCCGCATTTGATTTTTAAAGAACAAACTCTGCAAATTCTTTTCATATTATACGCATTCGACTTTTATCATAGATTGCTAAGCATAAGAAGCAAATTTCGATATGTAATTGGTTTGAAGTGAATTGATGGTGGGATATGTTATGTAATAGAGACAATGAGTTAAACGATTTTCTGAAGGGATTTAATCCATTCCACATCTATCGTCTCTTTTTTTTTCCCCTCTTCTCTGCTCTTCCTATTCTTCCTATATAGGTGGAGTTTGTGGCCAACTTGGGACCTATAGTAGGCCAGTGTTGAACTAGCCTAGCTCCTCCTTCTCCTTTTTCCATTGCCTCTAATTACATTCATAGGCACATAAAACTGAATTGGAATTCAATTTTATTCCAAACGCTCCGACCCATCCCAGTTTCTTCTATCATTTTGTAACGTTTCCATGGTACATCAATACATATCCGATTATCATCTTATCTTAAAACACCAATCAATTGATTCACTTCTTCCTTTTTTCCGTTTCTTCGATTACTGTACTTTTTTTATTTTCCTTTACCTGCCTGATAGCATTTTAGTATCAGGAAATGATCAACTGGTATGTATTGCCAAAAATACAATTCTTTGTGATCGGAGCAGCCAACACATTGTTTAACTAAGGAAAAAAAGAAACTATCAAAAAATTTGCAATTATCTGTACACTTTTTAGCAGTAAAACATATATATGGCCAAAGAAATTTCTGGAAATTAAGGAATTTTAAAAAATTGAAAAAATGAGGAAGGAAAATGTGGAAGAAGCTAAATAACTTTAGACAAAATTCTCTGAAAGCACAACATAATCATAACGCAAGTTTAGAGATGATTTGTCACACACGTTTGTCACCTATATTACTATATCATTTGTAACCCTCATCTTTCTCTCTTTTTTAGGCTTATATCAGTCATTTCACTTTACTTTATTTGAAGCTAAAGAAACTTTCTCTTGAAATTTCTTTCTAAGCTAATTTACCCATGATAACAGACGTCAAAATTTGCAAATTACTTTCAAAAAGTTTGTCAACTTATAGGATCAGGCAAACATATACTGAATAAGTGCTACACATATATACAATCTGTGAAATAATGCAAAATATTATGTGGAAATTTGTTGAAAGATACACAAGAAAAAAAAAACCAGTCCTACAGTAGTCACTTTGTCTTGGTAAACTTTGGGGACACCAAAATTGGGTATGCCAAAATTTATCGAACTGAAAAGAGTGATGGATAAATAGTTCAGTAATTCGTTTTTTTTTTTTTTGTTATGTTTGATACAGTCTATAACATTCAATCACTTCTTCTAACCCTACAAAGTAACAGGATATTCTGGTAGAAATACTTTTTTCTTTCCAGAAAAATCGTCATCTTTTCTCTTGGACAATCAATACCTCCTGAATTCTTCATCCATACTTCCGTAATAGTCTTAATACTTTCTTTATATTACATTTTCTACATCTTTAAGAATGATGCTATAAAAATATATCCTTCCTTCAACAGTTAGGTTTGTATTAGTAAATTAAACTTATCCACGCCCAGATACAACTCTCTCAAAAAAAATCTCACCTGTATATTTGATATATCGAATAAGCTGTAAGATAAGTGATATGACATCAGGTGAAGACTCTGAAATTCTCTATCAATAATAAATACATTATCGTGAAATTTCTATTACTATATTTGAATAAATCATTAAGACTATCACCAAAAGACCATTTGGCCAATTAATGTTTTCCATAACTTTGTAACATTAATTGGAAATTACTAAAATTTGAGCAGTAAATAAGGAATCATTCATTAAAAGGTTCCAACAGGTGCAAATACCTTTTGAAATCATCCATAAAATATTACAGTTTCAGCCAGATGTTAGCCATATTCCCACACGCTTTTTTTATTTATGCCGAAATGTTCTCTTCCACACTATCAAATACCACATGTTAGCATATTTTATTTGAATTAAATTGAAATAATTCGTTGACTAAATTTCGAAAGTTTTTTTTTCTTAAAAAACGTTTTAAAATGTTCATTTTCACACAAATGGACTTGTCATGTAGAGAGATGTAATTGACATATGTTAATAGGTTAGTACTAATAGTAATGAAACAATGTTACTTTAATTTTGAAGGAAAAATTCATGAATGGTTGAAATGCTTTTTTCTTTTTTTTCTATGTAATAAAGAACAAAACCAATCAATAATTTCAGTAAGTTATTTTGTGAGAAAAATTTGAATGTTTTTATTATATTGAGCTAAAAAAGAAAAAGAAAGATATTGAGGGAATAAGGTAAGAAAGTAATCAGTACTGCTCAAGTAATCAAGTACTGCTCAAGAAAGTAATCAGTACTGCTCATGTAATCAAGTACTGCTCGAGAAAGTAATCAGTACTGCTCAAGAAAGTGATCAGTACTGCTCAAGTAATCAAGTGCTGCCCAAGAAAGTAATTAGTATCAGTAATCAGTCAGTACAGCTATAAGTGATAAAATAGCTATACTGACTGATTGTCTTAAAAAAGATATCATTTTATCACTTTCCCATTAAAACAAATATTTTCTAAGTTTAGGCATGGACTTTTTAGCCACTTTTTTAACTTATACCAATTTGGATGACTTTCCTAACTATCTAGCCTTTTGCTTCTAATGCTGATGCTGCTGCTGCTGATGATGATGATGATGACGATGATGATGATAATAATAATAATACCAAAGCCAACAACAACAGCATCAACAACAGTAGTGTCTCTTGCTGTTTTCGTCAAATGAATCTCATCGGAGATTTATTCGGTGAAATAAAGAAATTAATCAAAACATAGCACAAATCTTTGACATATCTTCTTTTTTTTTTGTCAGTAGCAGAAGCAACAAAGCTTACGAAATACTGAATTCATTTTTGCCCGTAATTTAGAAGGCCTGGGCCAAATGAGGACAATATCGTTTCTTTATCCACAACTGATATGGTGACATTTTCAAATTATAAAAGAAGAACTCTTTTATCCTTTTCAACTTCAAGCAAAATCTAGCTTATCATATTTTCATTGTCACTTTATTCCATTCCAGTAGTCATCATTTTGTGATTGTTTGCCTTTCAGCCCTATCATATTATGCAAATGTCCATCTATTGGCCATTATTTATGAACTAATTACACCTGGTAATATCCCTTCTTATTTTATGGCATAGAAAACTGTTTCCTTCCATCCGATTCGATTTCGATATATTCATTAAAAATGAAGGATGAAGGCCATCGCCATACACGATGAAACTCATCTTGTCTTGATTTCTAGAAAACATTCGTTATGGTATGACAAATTTCATTTTTGCTTATTTAGAAGAAAATTATAAAAAGAATTTTTAGATGACCACTACACTTTGAACATTTATGTGAGGTCAACATTTGTAAGAGAAGTGGACATTGGAGGACATAGCCTTGCAAAAAGGATACAATTATTTATTGTAACATTTATTGTTTTAAATATGAATTTTGATGCTATTGATGCAAATCATTGGCAAGAGGCTTAAAATATCGATTGAACTCTCTTTGAAATGCCATTTCACTTATTGCATTATTTGAAATTTTGAAATTCTGAGGATAATTTTGTTTAGGTTTGGAGAGCTCTTTGAACTGGACACTCAAATTAAGATCAATTAATTAATTCCTTTTATTACTACTTCATATATCTGCAGTAGATATTTTATTCAAGCAGGAATAATGATAGTGGCAAATATTTAGAATGACATGAGTACAATGATTGATATAAGTGATTAGTAATCAGATATCAAGTAATCATTGAAGTAATTGAGATAAGCCTTCATTTTTAGGCTTATTAGAAGGAAAATCAATGGATTGATTGTTTAATAATAATATATTAGTTGTGGGTCGTTTTTTATTGATGAATTTCTTTGAAATGTCGTTAAGCGAAGAAGAATAGTTTAATCCCTTTTTTGCCTTTCTCTCTCAACAAATTTTCTTCTTTCTTTTCAACATCGATTTATTGTCCTTCAATGAAAGAAGCCAAAATGATTCGATTATTCAGTAATTACTGCTAATTTATGCTTTAATGAATTGTTTAATTAGCAACCATTTTGACATTACAAAGAAAGAATGATTGGTGAAGCATTGGAAAAGAAAAAAAGAACTTATTCCTTTCTATTAAATCTCTAAAAATTTTCCATTTTTCTCATAAAATGTTAGTAAAATTAGAAAACAAATAAATATTTCATAATCATTCTCTCTCTTATCATCATTCATAGATTGATATCACGAAATTATCATCCAATCACTATGGATGACATGATAATGATAGGATGTTAAGCTTCAAACATTTACATAATTTACATATAATGTCATAGTCTTTTTATTCTTTGCCTTGTCAAATTCTCATATCAATATGTATTCAAGATTAAATATTTCTTCATGAAAGAGAGAAAAAAAAAGGTGTAGTTTTCAAATAGTATATGAAATGCATTGAGGCAAATGATAGCTAACGCTGTTGACACAAACGTCAAACGGAAGTGTCAAACGATAGTTGATACTAATGGAACCTTCAGGGACTTTTAACGCCACTTAAAGTTTGTCAAGTCACCACTCTCATCCGATTTTAACTAATCTGCCAAAAAATCACTCCTATACTAGATTTTATTACACAACTGTAAAGTCCAAAAGTTGCTTTCAAAATATTTCTGTTTATTACGGCTATTGCTAAATGATAATTAAATATGCGAACTGTCTGTCGCTGAATTTACTTTTTGATTCCACCCACTCAAATCAATAATATGATGTTCTCAGTATGTTGAAAATATGATAAACAGATATGACATAACAATCTGTTTCATCACTTCCACATTGTTTTCAAGTATAACATAGCAATAGTACTACTTGATAAGATAAGTGGATACTTTCTGCTGATATTTGTTATACCTTGATTGTGTCACATCATTTAGTCGTGTCATTCTGTGATGTATCATCCTTACAGTTTAGTTTATTGCTGACTAACTTTTCTCTTTCCGTCTAACTTCTTTCTTTAACTTTAACATTCAATAAATTTTGCTAATTTCATAAGTGACAATGCAACAGTAATCAACCACAATGTGAATACGGTAGATAATTGTTAAATAGTACTTATTAAGTAGTCAACTATATTCAAATAATCACAATAATTATGATTACGATTAATAATTGCTTACTATTTAATAGTATTTCAGGCTTTCTTTTCCAAAAAAAACCTCAAAACTGAAATTTTGGCTGAATTTTTGTTGCTTTCTCCATGTTTGCTCCAATAGTTAAATTAAAACATTTAATTAGCCAGTTCATATACTTGCGATTGTATTACTGATCCTGAAATAGAATTCCAGGTCAACCTGTCTTGTTCGGGAAAAAACTTTTCTAACTAATATTTGTGAGATTTTGGGATTAAATTTGATACTAATAGTTATAAATAAATGAATAAATAGTTCGAAGTATTTCAATCATACTTATTAATCTCTCTCTTCCCTCTCCTCCTTCCCCTTTCTCTTCTCTCTTTTTCTTTAAACAAAACTTTATCACATCGATCGACAATTTTCTCACTTTTCGCCATTCTTTTATTCAATTCTGTTCATTTATTAAATATTCATTAATTATTGATTACTAAGTGTTAATCATTTTAATGAAATATATGCATGCAAATAAACATTTGCATATCACATTGTTAACTGATTATAAATCCTCTAATCAGAAAGTTTAACATTGACTATTTGGCTTGAATTACATCATACATTTTTTGTTCATTTCAACTCTCTTGAAAATGATAAATTGATTATCAAGAAATCCCTGGTTGCTCAAATTATATTGATCTTGTCATTATAAAACTACATTATACTCTGGCCATGTTCACTTATGTTCATTTCCAAAATGCCAATATAAGTTTAATTAAGGGTCGAGAGCCAAGATGGGTGACGAAGTCAAGTACCATTGAAGTGCTTGACAAGCTCAGCTTGTATGAATTGCAAGAAACAATCAGCAGTGAAAATTCCCGAACTTATGAGATTGATGGAGAGCAGTGAGAAAACGATAAATCCGTTCGTTTTAAAGGAATTTCTCAGGGATACAGGGGACAGAATAGTATCTTACTTGAACAATGTAAGGGTATCATATGAACTTGGATGATAATCCAGCTCATGCACCAAATCCAGCTGATTTTCTACTTTTAAATAAGCATGAAATTCAGACTTAGATGTGATATTTCTAGTTAGTTAATAATAACTGGCCTAGATATCTTACGAAACTTTGTGAGGCAAGCCATTTAAAAAAAAATAAAATCATTTTTGACGTGGGATTACCGTACTTCTCGTGATAACAGTAAATGATGAGCCAATGTGAATATTAATGAGTAGTACTGTGGAGATTAGAATACTCGTACCTTTCTTTGTCATTGTAAAAGTGTTGCCAATTGAAACGGTTCCAATAAGGCTATTATCGATAAATGATAAATGCAATTAACTACACTGATATGTTTAATATCTAATAATTATTCACTTTAATGTTGATATGAAATGTAAACATTTTTCTGAAATGTAAACAAAAAACAGCAACTCATTTGATAAAATTATCAGTTGTAAAAGCATTTAGTATTAGATTTCTAATGATAGAAACAATGTTAGAATTGATGTTAAATGGTTAAATCGAAATTTAAAAGTTAAAATTATTTCGTGAAAATTGTATTTAGGCAAATTTCTAATAACTTCAGAAAATTTAATTTTATAAAGAAGGAAAAGAAATAAAAGAAATGGTAATATTTGTGTATTATAGATGTAACAGGGATTTCTACAATAGCCGTACACGAAGGATACAGTCTGATGACCGAATTATTTATTTCTTCCGATACGGTAAGCTTAAATCTGTTCTTTTCTCCTGATTTATTATAATGTTACAACATTAAAGTAATATGATAAAAGTTAAAATTAAATGAATCAAATTGTTGTCAGTTTGAAAAAAACTTAAAACAGTTGTTTAAATATAAAATATGATAAGAATATCGGCCAATGATATATCGTAAATTATTATTTATCAGAATTGAGTTTTGGTACTTCCAGTGTAATCATAGGAAAAGAAACAAAGATGAATCTAAAGATTACGATTTATTACAGATTGTTCGGAGGGAGAAGAAGAAATAATAAGTTGGCATGAACTGAAATATTTGGTAATGAATTAATCAATTAATTAATGTAAATGATAGGATAAGTAAAAATATTTTAGATAAGAAATGGAGTAGATCAGTGTAATTTCTTTCCTTAGATAGAATAAATTTGAAGTTTTATTTGAGATGAATAAGAATTCCAGAAAGACAATCATCGATGGAATGTTATTCGTCATCCAATGGTACTCAATTTCGTTAATGAGATACTTCTCTCACAGGCTTATCTTTATGTCATACATATTACATCCTATTTGATTTTTCTGCTTTTGCTTTCAAGTTATATTTTTGGTAAAAACAACATACAAGATTTTCTATCCACGTTATTCCTGATCGTTTTTGGATTCTGTTTGGTTCGTTTTACAGTTTTCCTGATCATTTCTGAATTCTGCTTAATTTTATATCTTTACAGTAAACTTGAGATTTAAACCATGGAAACGTATCTAAAGTATACATATACAATTCTAGACTGTATGGAATGTTTCATTAAGTATTTTTATTACTGTATGAATGAATTGCAAAATTAGTCAGGATTGACCTAAGCCCTATTTAATATATTTACGACTTAGAATTTACAAAAATAATAGTTGAAAAAAAAACTTTTTTGATCATTATTTTCAATTAGGAATAACAATATTGTAAAAGCTGCTATTGTAAAATGAAGGAAATGTGAGGAACAAAACAGATTAGTTACGGTAACAAAAGAAAGTTTATCAGTAGTGATGATCATGGACAGGTTTTATTGATTTGATTGTGTAAAAGAGGAATTTTCAGTGATAAAATTGTCACTTGAAAATTCTACTTCTGTCATCAAACCATTTTACAGGTAGTGAAATGTGCTGTAAAACTGCAAGCAGGTAAAATCAGTAAATGGTTTATACTGTCCTATTCCTTCAACGTAATCACGTATATCGCCACTTTTCTATTCATCTGGACGCCACTATTATTTTCCTATAATGATTATAATTCTGATTTGAAGGTCATTTCTGTTTGTAAATTTTCAAATTCAAAAATGTTTAATACTTTAATAAGCACTATAAAATTTCGTAGGAAAATTAATGGAAGGAATCAATTTTTTAAAATTGAAATATTTAATCATTAATTTGAATGTGACAAATTGATTCATTTCTGTCACAAAGGCCTTTGTAAGCAAAGGTCTTTTCTACAACCATAGCCAGTGAAATGACCGATACTTATAGCCTCATTTGGCTATGCTTTGTTACAGAATAGGCCAAAATTAACCCATGAAACAGGTCTAGAATTTTAATCAGTATAAATTTGCAAAAGCTAAATTGCTGTCAACTATTTTGTCCGGTAGTTGTTAAATGTTGCCTGAAAGGAATCATTAATTAATGCAAATTTGAAACATTCCATATCTAATTTCAAAAAAATATTGATAGGCCAAAAAATGCATTAACCCCAGTAATGGCAATAGTGTGACATTCTGTCATTGATATGTCTTATCTAATTATGACAACTTTTTCTCTTCCAGCATTTCATCACCTGGTTGCTACCTATTATCGCAATTATTTCGGCATGGATCAATTTCCTGTATATTCTTAGGAAATCACCGTATGGCATTTACATCCTTATGCTCTCACGTATCCTCTATTCATTCTCTCTAGG